CATACATCATACATATCAGTGTGTTTTATAATCAGATCAAAGATGGCTGAATAACGGCTGTTTTTATTTTGGTCATATTACTATGACACGAAACACGTGTTTTGATGTAAATAAACAATCTGTTGTATATGCCACTTGGAACTCAAGTTTCAAGGACACGCTCGCGACAACCCCTCCGCTTTAATATGACGAGCACAAAGAGAACTTAACGGGGACTGTGTCATTTTCAATGACTTGTTCGAACAGATTCTGGCCAATTTAATTGCAGCAACTCATCTAAAAACTCTGACAACCATTTCTGTTGTCATTCGCTAGTGAATATTTTTTCATAAAATGCATTAGTTCTTAGAATATAATGAAAAAGAGCAAGTCTTTTTTTTATATCAATTGGAAAGTTAAAAACAATGTGAAAAACTAAATAGAGAACAGAAAACAACGTGCACCATCACACATTGTCGGTCTATCAACGGTGTTCTTACTAATTTTTGATTGTGGAAATTGTAATTTATGTGTGATTGAAAACAGGAGATTAAGGTAGCGAGAAGGTTTTGTGACGTTTTTAAATAAAACATTCTCTGTCTGTTGTCTCGTTCAGAACAGTAATTTAGGTTATATATATCAAAAGACTAAGTATAGAGGTGCAAGTTCGCACAAACTGGACAGACATTGTTTACATAATTATCACGTGACATCAAAAATGGCGAACCTTGTAAAAATGACTAAGTACGCGATTGCGAGAGCACACTGCGGAATTTCCTGGTGAAATTTAAGTTATGCATTGTCCGTAATCAAGTCCATTGAAATGCGTCTCCGATAATCAAAAGACCTATTATTCCGATTTCTATGCAGGTTTGTTTTTTTGTCCCCAAATTATTTCATACTTGGCACCTTTAACAGACTATTATTCTGTGACAAAGCATTTTCTTTAAAAACCCCGACATATTTCGCACCATCATTATCTTTTGAACGATAACTGCGAGTTTGAATGTCCTAGTCCGAACGCACTTGATTTGGCGGCGGTCCCAATGAGTCGTTCTCGATCAAAACTTCAACTCGAGAAAAACGCGAAAAACAGTTTTGGTTAATAAAACACTGTAGATTTGCTGCATTATTATAAATATACACTAAAGATGCCCAAACATATTAACCACTGATATCATAGAACTCATAAAGAGTGTCAGATAATGAATAATTTCAAGCTTGAGCGCGAAAAATGAAGAAAACTGCTGGCATTTGAGTC